TTATTTTATTGTGCAATACCAAATTAAAAAATGATAAGAATATGAAATGCATTTTATGAAAAAATCATATAATAATATAAGAGAAAACACTTTTCTATGATGCTGAGAAAAAAAAATGAGATCATAAGCTCAATCATCCACTTTTCCCACTGTACAAAATTTTATAAACAGCATATTTTTTCCAGCCTAAATAAGAATATTAAAAAAAAAAATCACAAACTGATTTTGATCATAGCAAACAGCAAAAATTGTATGATTTGCGATCAAATGGATAACTGTTTGTGCTAAAAGAAACTTAAAAAAGATACAGAGTGTGATTAAAGGAAGGAGTGAGCAATGTAAAAGGGACGGGTATGAAGGATTTCTGTACACAACTTCATATGTATGTAAGCACATTTTATGTTATTTAGCACCATTTCATTGTATTTGTGAATTACTGTCTATCACTGGTCATTTTTCTACACCACACCTTCACCTGTAATTGATGTTGTTCTATGCATTTTGAAGATGATTAAAATCTTATTATTACTACTATATGATTTTTAAAAAGCAAAGAACAATTCCATTATTTTATGCATTAACAGAGATAAATTATAAATATTAATACTACTACTAGATAAAGAAAAGTTAACAATCAATGATTGTTACAGTATGTATTTACTGATATAAAGCGCCATAAAAAAAAACATCAACTGAAAATGCCATTTAAATTTCAGCCAGTACTATTAACATGAATATTAACAGAAATTTTTCGCCAGATAAACATTTTCTATTTTCATTTGACTAATTCATTTTTACAACTTTCAACCTGTGTGACAAATTATCAAAAGTTAAATTTTATTATTGTTAATCTATATTCATTTTCATGAACATTCTGCATGTATATCAAGATGTATGCATGCTCTATTTTCCTGTTTTTTATTTTCTAATTACATCAATGTATTTTATTAAAAAAAGAAAAGAAAAAACTTTTCAAGCAATTGCAAAATTTTTGATTTTTTTCTCTTATTTAACATTTGCATTTTACTACAAGTTTTAAATGAATATGTAGCAATCCATTTTTTATAATATTATTGAAGGTTTAGAGATGTTTGAGATCTATACAAGCATGTATGCATTTGCCAGAAATACTTTAATGCATTGATTTGAATCTTTTACAAAGCAAAACAAATGAAATACAAAAAATTCAATTCTGTTATGAAAAAAAGTCATAAAAGAAAAATAGTAAGTGGTGCTTTGTTCAGTTAGGAACTTAAGCATGTGGGTAGAAGAAATGGTTAGAGAAAAATAATATTTTCATTTAAAACAGATGATTTTTAAAAATATTTATGAGGAATGGGGAGAGCTGAAAAAAAATCTTGGTTTGAATTATTTCCCCAAATAACAAAATACCGAATTTATTTCTGAAGGGATTCTTGATCTGGTCACAAACATTTCCCGAAATTCCCTCATAATATTATAAGTCATTTAATATATACTAAGAGTAATATTTCATTTATAGTAATGAAATAAATAATATTTTAATAAAATGTTTGTAAATAATATAAATACAATATTTTAATAGATTCAAATGTTTTGTTAAACATTTAGTAGTTTATTAAAATAAATCATATGACTTGTTTTATTAGGGTATATTAAATAAAAATATTACTTCTTTTTTCTATTACTTCCTATCCACAAACTAAAAAAATATTTTTTCTTACTTGAACAAAGCATACTTTATAAAATCTCTCCCTATAACCTTTTTTTTTTATCTGATACATGTTATTTATTCATTTATTTTTATACACACACAAGGTCTGATCAAAATGTATCAGGGCTGGTGATATAAAAAGAAAACAACACATATCAATTTAGCATTTAATATCCTACAAAGTATCTCCTCTTGAAGCCACACACTTTATCCAGTGTTGTTTCCATTGATGGTAGTATTCCTGGAACTTCTTTTGGGGGATAGTGAGCAGCTGCCTCATCGCATTCTCTTAGACTTCCTCAATGTCTTGAAATCTTGTTCAAGTGTGATTTGATTTTTGGAAAGAGGAAAAATCACAAGGGACAAGATCTGGGGAATATGGTACTTGGCCAAAAACTGCTGCACAAGCTGCACTGAATGAATAGATGCATTGTCATGGTGGAGTTGCCACTCTCTAGATGCATGCAATTTGGTCCTTTTCCAACAAACAGCATCCCACAAATGCTGCAACATCATAGTAGTACTCCTTGTTTACTGTCTGACTAGGTGGAGTATACTCATGATGAACAATGCCCTTGTAGTCAATGAAAACTGTTAACAGTGTCTTCACCTTGCTTCGACTCATTCATGATTTTTTTAGTCTCGGAGAGGTTGGGGGTAAAAAAACGGCAAAGACTGAGCCTTGGTTTTGAAGTCCTAGACACAGACCCACCATTCGTCACCTATGAGTGTTTTCAAAAAGTTTTCATCTTCCTCAACACAATCAAGATCATGTGCAGCTGAAACCTTATTTTCTTTTTGGCCAACTCAAAGCTATTTTAGCACAAAGTTGGCCAACATATCTCATACCCAAATTTTCAATAAGAATAGACTGAACTGAACCATAATTAATTTTCACATCCTCTGATTCAACAATCTTTCCAAACATCTGTGATATTTTCATCAGTTCTGCTGGTAGTGGGTCTCCCAGAACATATATCATCATTGACATTCATCTCCATACAATTTCTGCAATTTTGTATAGATCTCTGCACAGGCATCACCAAACATTTGGCAAAATTTGATACAGATTCTCTGCTCAATTTTCTCTGCCATAGTCACTGATGGAACCTCTGTGGCATGGTGAGACAATCACACTCTACACACTCTCCTTCCAAGCACTGCTATAAACAACATAAATGAGAAAGAACCTTATGAATGTACATATGCAAGAGTTCAAGGTCATTCTGTGACAAGAAGCTTCCCTCTGCATACTTTATATCTATTACCATAGCAACAAACCCAGTACATATATATTTGAATAATGTTATATTTACTTTTAGGATGTTTTGCTATATTTATGGGGGAAGAGGGCTTAGTGTTTGTAGATATAGATAAGTGTTAACAGAGGAATCAACACTGCATGGTGACTGTCAGTCTTATGCCTCAAAGAATCTTCAGACCAAAGATTGTTTAAGGCATGAAACTGACAGTCACCATGCAGTATTAATTTCTATGTCCACATACATTTTATTTATATATATATATATAGAGAGAGAGAGAGAGGAGGCATGGTGGAGTAGTGAATAATGGCTTGGATTGAGAAATTGGAGAGCCGAGTTCAAATTCCAGTCAAATCCATTACATTCACTTACGTGCTAATACCCTTGGGAATTAGGTATTAATCCTCTTCTTCTCCCACCAGCTAGGGGTAAATAGCAGGACAGACTGGGTTCTATAGCCTTGGATGGCAACTGATCTAGGAGAAGGATAAACTCAAAACCTGTGGAGGGTTGTTTGGGGACATTGTGGCATGTAATGCACCAGGTCTCTGTATTTGACCCCTCAAAAAGTGTGGTTGGTTCTGTGCAAAGCCTTCACCACTATAATCAAATCATATGTGCTGGTGTCTGGCTGTCGGTTCATAGGAACTGAACTGCTTGACCCGCATATGTCAAATATGACAGGAGAGTTCACCATACAGTGTATATTTAGGCAGCATATTTTCATTCAAACAGATTTGGTTAAATAATTTAGACATATGTCTTTTAGTTTTCATTGTGATCCTTTCAAGTATGCGGATTAATTTCTTGGTAGCCTTAGAAAATTGATTAAGAAAAATACCAAAATTTTCTTTCAAATACTTTTTATTTTCTCCAAGTATTTTCAATCTTCTAGGGGCTAAGTTGTTGTGAGTATGTATGTGGGTTTCTGTAAATTCAAAACATTTCAACTGTTTCTTTTTACTGCTTATGCAGCATTCTAGATTTCAATGTTCACCCCACCCCACAAAAAAAACACATGAACTTTGAAATTTAGAACACTGCATAAGTAGTAAAAACAAACAGTTGAAATGTTTTGAATTTACAGAAATGCATATACATACTTGCAGAAAACTTAAACCCTTAAAGATGGTCTCAGATGAAGTTGAAAATAAAAACTATTTGAAAGAAAATTTTGGCATTTTTCTTAATCAATTTTCTTAGGCTATCAAGAAATTAATCTGAAAGGATCACAACAAAAACTAATCAACATAAGTTTAAATTATCTAACCAAACCTGTTTGAATATATATATTCAAAAACAAACTTTAGAATAAACTGAAACTTTTCTAAAATGCAAGTAAAAAAGGAAAAATTTGAAAACTTAATGCATTATATATTTGTTTCTTTAAATGTTCAATATTTTTTTTCTAATTATTAAAATTACTCAGTTTTCTTCTGCTTCAATTACAATTTTTCAATCTCAATTCATTCATGGGTCCTAACAATAAATGTAAATATATTTATTGTATTCACTTTTTGTTTTTGGAAATAGATGGCTCTCCACAAAACCTTGCTCTTATGCATGTTTCTATTTTTTTTAAATGCTAATAAAAAATTATTTTTAAATAGAAAAATGAAATTGAAAAACCAATTTGAAAATAAAATCTTTTATAGTTGGAATCTATTTTTTTTTCCAGTTTTTCATTTGTGATTTTCCTATAAAAAAAAAAAATATTTTCATTCGATGAACAATTTTATGAAAATATTCTAAAAGTAACCTTAACACTGATGCCAAAATTTGAAGTTAATATAAATGAACAAAAATATTTTCATTAATTTTCAATCTGGTGAGATGAAATTAATGAACATTATTCTTCTTAGCTAAAGTGAAAAACTATTTGAAAAAAAAAAAAAAAAAATCAGGAATTTCTGTTGTAATTTTGGCACAGAATAAAAATTAAAAACTTTTAGAAATGCAATCAAAAATAAAATTCCTATAAGTTTTACAAGCATGCTTGTACCTTACAAATTCAAATAACCGTTATTTTTTTTTTATTATTTCAGAACCATCCCCGGTAGCCTCCCTTGATAGCGTGGGCATCGGTAAATCCAGCCATTATGCTGTACCCGGTCGATGTCACCACAAGTCAAAGAAGCACAAAGTGAGCGGTTACCTCTCCAGTCCAGGGGAAGAAACAACAGTTTAGTTTAGGATGGTTCATCTGAATATCTTATTAAGCCAAAGGCTGTGATATCAGAAATTATACAGCTATCTATAGATTATGATCATAACACAATATGGCAAATAAATTGCTATTGATTCAGTTCCCCGTACGAAAAAGTAAAAATTATTGCAACATACATTTATTTTAAACGATTTAACTTTAGTCTATTAGTTTTTAGCCTGAATATGACAATACATAAACCTTGAACAAGCTTAATAATATTGTTGTTGTTATTTATTCCTGTTGATATTGTTAATGTTTTTGAAAACATTCCATCAAAAACCCATTTCCTTTCCAATGAAAAAGGGTAAAAAAAAAAAAAAAAAATTAAAAAAAAAGATTAAAAAGTTAAACTTTAAGGATACTTATATACAACCAAAACTATGTATATAAGTAGTGAGTACTTGTTCTTGTTTAAGTTATTGTCAATACTAATTCAGCTAAAATTATACTTTAAATGAATTAAAGAAATACAAAGGTACCGTAGGTAATTGTAAAATGACGGACTAAAAGGAACTGATTCACATTTTCTTTTTTCTGTATGTCTCTCTCATCCTTTCTTTAAAGAAAAAAAAACTGAATTATCAATATTTTCTGTTTTTAACTGTTCAAGGGACATGATCCTGGACAACAATTTTAGCTTGCAGCATTCCTTGAAATAATTCTGAAACAAACTTCATTCACTAAGATTATGCTGGAAACCAAAATAATGGACTCACCAACCATTTCCAAGAATGTCACCTCTTTAATTATGAAAATCTTACACTTTGGAGATGTTTGAATTTTAAAAAGCAATGGATTCAATTTGGGAAAATAAATGGGCATGAAAGTCCAATCTCCAAGACTGATTTTCCCCAGTTTTACAAGTCATTCTATCAGCTTTTGTCCTTCTGCTGGTCTCCTATATTTACAGAGTTTTATTGGCTCTAATTTCACAAATTACCAAAGACTGCATCATAGCCACAATCATTGTCATCACTGATATTTTGTATTATCTTTCAGATAAATCTTTGTCTTTACTTGACTCAATAGGAAAATGTACAGGACTAAAATTAATAGTAAAGTTCCCCCACCCCGCCATCCTCTGAAGGAGGATACTTTCCCAAAAATCAATTTATTTGTTAAAAAGGACTTGACAGAATTCAGGGACTATCAGGAAACTGGAATACTAATTATATACAGAAAATAGAGCTACAGATGCCATTTTGCACTTTGGGTATAAAATACTATAATAAACTCTGAAGAACTCATCTAAAATGTTACCAAAAGTTGCCAAGTCCTTAATTTTTACTGATATCAGTTTTGCAAAAGAATCTAAATTGAAAACCTGAGAAATTGCAATGGTAATATAAAAGGTGCCTGCTATTTCACAATGAAATATAAACAAGGCCTTAGCTACACTTGGTAAAATACATGTACAGTTAAAATTAATTGTATATATGTATATACATAAGTTAAAATTAGCAAAACTAGTTAAAATCTTACCACAAATAAAAACCAAATTGTTAAATGGCTCATGTAGCAGTGATTACAAAATGTGCCGGTGAATTTATTGAAATGTGAAATTAACCTGAATTCAAAATATTCAGGTTCATCGGAGAAATTTTTCCAAGTCTTCTGAAAGTCCCAACATAAATATCTTCTGGTCGTATCCTGATGTTTATATCAAGTTTACAAAGTGAAACCTCCAGATACTTACAATCAAAAATATTACTGTTACTTCAAAATCAGATGTTATTGTTGTTTGTTGTTATTTCCATAAGTTTCTTGTTCCTTCCATACTTTGCCGACTGTTTGCATTCGACCTGAACATTTTTTGTACATTTACTAACATTTTAATTCATAGTTTTATTTTTGTTGTATTATTTTATTTATATATTCAATTGTCAATTTAAATGTTTTTGAAATTATGATTTCATTTTTAAAACACAATGTTGCTTCTGAATGATAGAATTTTATTTATTTTTTCTATCCTTCTAAAATCATTTTTCAGTCTTCTTTATGCTTTATTATCTTTTGTTCAGTACAGATATTGGTTTATGACCAGTTTCAAAGTTTTCTGTGATTCTTTCACTGTAAATTCCGTGACATTTTATTTCCTCAATGTCTCTTAATTCCTTCACTTACAAAATGTCCTTTATTGTATTGAGGTTGCAAACTGGGTTTTTTATTAGCTTGTAATCTATACAATTTTATAATATATTTCTTAAAATTATTTTATTAGAAAAAAATAAGATAAACTTAAATGTATGTGGGACCATCAAAGTCTTTCATGATTTACACTTAGTAAAACCAGTTTGTGTAAAATATTTACAAGATCTATTCTAAATATCTTTATGACATTCAAAGAATTATGCCATGGTTATGTGAGTAGCAAATTTAAGATTGAAATTAAGTTCTTAAAAAAATGATTTTGATATCTGGATTAAGAAGTGATGTGAAGAGGACCAGACATTACAGTTTGTGTTCTGTAGATTGTTTTGAAATAACAAGAAGATTTTTTATTATTAGTGATTCTATGTTTTAATGGCTGAGAGGAAAAATATCAGACTGATTCCTTAATGGTCAATACCATATCCTTTTTTTCTGGAAGAATACCAAAAACAGTACTGCTAATTTGTGACATCAATATATAACTTCTAAATCAAAAGTTGTAAATGCCCAATACTTGTTTGATCCTGCTGTGAATTATTAGTAGATTAAATGTTCATTGAATAAATTAAACTATTTAGTTCTGTGGTCTTATAACATAATATCTCAAACAGCAGCAAACTAAGGGGAGGAAAAGAAAAAAATAAGATTAATTCCAGTTAAAATACATCTCTTAATATATGTTCATAAAATATCCAGTGAGTAAATCTTTAAATTAGATATTTCTAATAAAGTCTTTATATATGCAGAAATACTTTAGAGAATAAAGAGTAAAGAAATAAAAATAAGAAATTACACGACCATGGTTTTAAATTAATGTTTTCTTGAATAACTTGTTTTATTTTAAATATTTGCCTTATAATAATTGTATATATATTAAATATAAGAATGACATTCAGTCAATAAGTGAATTTGTTTACTTTGTAATTTTAAAAGCTTACCTTGCTCTAAAAGTATCATAACTAAAAATGTTGTTACAACAATAAAAAGACATAAAAAACAAAGAGTCAAGACTAGGGAAAAAATCAGCTACTGTAGTTGGTACAAAAATAGAAAAAACACAAAACATACAAAAAAAAAAAAAAATGAAAGAAAAGAAAGAAAAAGCAAAAAAAAGAAAAGAAAAAAGAAATGTGCTAAACAGTTTCATGCCTTGTTTGTCATAATCGAGGTAAATAGATAACATTACTGTACACACCAATTAAAAACCTGAAGACAGAAAGAAAATACATCTATCTCAATAATATATTGAGACAAGAATATTTTTTGTAATCAGTAGTAGCAAAAGCAGAGTTTTTCCTGTTCTTGGCTATTTTTTTTTAAAATTATTTCCGTTTTTATTGTTGTAATAAATTTTTGTTCTGTTAAAATATTGCCAAAGATTTACCAAAATAGCTATTTTAGCAATAAGCAAATATATAGCTTTAGTTATATGTAAACTAAGAATGATGTTACTTATTCTTCCTGATTAAACCTTTTTGTATCTGGTTATACAAAAAATATTTTTAGAAAAATATATTGAATTAGATTAAATAATAATTACAAAAATCAACTCCTTAATATTTTGTAATGGAGGTTTATCAGTAATTACAAATATGAAAAGCTTTATATTAGCAAAGTAGTTAACAAAGAATTCTCAACTGACAATTTCTATCAAATTTATTCAGATTGCAGAGTACAGAAGTACAAAAAATAGGAAAGTTAATGTGTATTTTCTTTAAATTTTGCTTTAGCTTTTTTTTTTTATGAACATATTAATAATTACTATCTGGAGTACTCCTTTACATGGGATAAAATGTCAGGACTTGACTTTAAGATGGTTATAATGACAGTAAAATGATTCCTTAAAGATACTGATGGTGGTAAGAATGGTTTCTATCAAAGTTGTTCTGAACTGATTAAGTTATCAGCACAAGTAAAGAATTATATATACCTTCTTATACCAAGGTGAAAAAAATGTATAACTAAGAAATGTTTATTTTATAATATTTGTAGTCAATAAAAAATTAGTAATTTAATTATTTCCTTTTCATGACACCAGTTATGTACAGTAAATATGTAAAGCAATTAGTAGCCTAAAAGGAAAATAATAGATCCTATTTGTTACTGGTAAATTTGCAATGACAAATCCTATGGAAAATAGAAAATATTTTTGGGGAAAAACTATTTTAGGAAATTGTTTTTCAAAGTACAAATATTTTTCTTGTCTAATCATGAATAAGAGAAATTCTGGTCTTGCACCAAATGATTACAAATAGTACCTGTTACTAAGAAACATAACTTCCATCAGAGAAAACAAAAGATAGATCCCTTTCACTACAAAGAACAAAAAATATTTTTAAAGTTAATTCAAACCATCCCCCTGGGTCAAATAAGTATGCATACTAAATTTAGGGGTCTATATGAAGTCATTTAATTATATATAGAAAACAAATTGTCCACAATTTAGATGAAAGCAACATTTTGAAAGCTAAGTTGGTAACAAACCAATATCTGTTATGTAAACTAATGATTTTTAGCAACATTTACAAAATTGTCAGATGCTACATCTAGCAATTATCTATTATTATTCAAATATTTTAAATTTTCTTATTGAACTTAGAATATGGTATCTTCAGTGCTGTAAAAAAGCAAGAAGAGAAAGTCAAATGTAAATAAAATATAACTTCAAATGCCTTAGTTCTTATTTTTTAACTATTTTGTCACAACTTAAAGCTGTCATAACTGGTTGTGGTTTTTTTCCTAAAGAAAATAATGAAATAAAAAAAATACAGAAAATATAAAAAGCCTTTGACTTTGAAGATGTTGGAAGTTTAACTGGAAAACTTATG